AATAATATCTGAACTAAGCAGTTGCCCCCAGTGGCACAGTGGTATGTCTGCAGACTTTTACTGCTAGAAACCGGGTTTAGATACCCGTGGTGGGCAGAGCACAGATAGCCCTTTGTGTAGCTTTGCGCTTAATAACAAACATCAACAACAATTTATATCGTGACAGTTTGCATGTGTTCGTTTATTGAAAAACGCGTTTCTTATAATAACAAAAAAAAAACATCAAATTTCGCATTTTTAAGTAAAAGTAATATGATTTTCTAACTTCATTGAAAGAGTTATTAATGAAGTAATCATTAATGACATTAACTACATAATCGATTAGTCTGGAAAAGTGTTCCTAGTCGTTATTCTCACTTTTTTTCTAACTGAAATATAACTCATTCTTGAAAATTTCGTTATTCTGCTGAGTGTACATTAGTTTCTGTCGGAAAATTGCAGTTAATTTTTCGACTTATTACGCCTATAGAGGTCATTTGTATTATTTATTAAGTGTCTACGATACTGTGAATAAATCAAATACAAAATATTTATGTTGTGTTATTTATGTAAAAATTCATAATAAATTTTAGTTGAGTAAGAATATTGATGTACTCTGATTACGTTCTTACAACAGGCTTGTGTATCCAATAAATGCCAGAGCTTGTAACAAATAATAAAGTCCAGCATTTCGTAAAGTTTGTGTGTTGTCATCCTAAGATTTCAGTTACTTAAAAATATTCCGCCGAAATTTAGGACGAATAACCTTAGCACGTGATTGATGACGTTGTTGGGAGTCAGGCATATGAGAAGCCGCCATTGTTCCTTCTTTTCCTGTGTCGCATAGTTTTTGCTTATAGTTTGTATCTGTGTGAAACCTGTGGAATTTATAAACAAAAACTCAAGAAAGCAAATACTTTATCCAACATAAATAATATCTTATTTGGCGTACAAACATTAAAAATAGCCGAGTTCATTGACAGATTGTGGAATGTCCACTAGCGTTGATCAGGTATGACAAATTAGGCTTAAGACTTGAGTGTTAATACCAATAGTAATATGGCTTCTGAAGTGAAGATTTTGTATTAATCTAATGAAACTTAAAAAGTGCGCATGTAATTAAATGTATTCGTATTATTTATTTAATTTACCTTGCGCTATCACATAATAAAGTAGTGAAAATTATGAACTTTGCCATGTTTATACATATTTAAAGTTTGCAGTGAATTATTCTTAGAGTCGGTACCATATAATTATAAATTGATGAGACTTGATCTGATGATTGTATTAATTGTTAATGTTATGTGATATTGAGTAATATAGGCTGGAGTAGTGATAAATCACGACCAGTGGTGCAGTATCACTGTTTTCCTTCTTAAATCTTACTCTTCGTATTGCAATTACAGTTTATATTTGCATCAATAGTCGTTGCTGACATAAGACGTAAAAGCTGAAGAAATACAAAAAAAAATCGAGATTATAAATTATTGCGAAATTGAAATGAGTGACAGCCATGCTTCTTGTCTGTGGGAAAAGAAAGTTCATAATTTCTTCAAACATTTTACGGTGTAAATACTAAATTTTGCTGTTAGTGTTATAGCCTAAACTTTAGTAACTAAATAATTTCACCTTATAAAAGCAATTTTTAAGATGCTTTTTGACTTAAGTTTTCTTCTAAAAATTCAATTTAAAATAGTCCATGGTTGCTGTGACATTGTATAATTATGTTATTAGTTATTTTTGTCTTAAAAGTTGTATTGCTTCTGGTAATGCATACATATTTTTGTAATTGATAACTATGCAATGCACTGCATCAGCTGTAAAAGTTGCAATATGTTGCTGTCAGGATATTATTTAGGCATTTGTGATATTAGTTTTGTGGTAACTTAATATGATAAATTATTATGTTATAGAATTATGAGTGAGTTGTTACTAAATGAATAAAGATATATTTTGAATTTAATAAGAGCCCACAAAAATCCGTTTGTGCCATAAAATAGTTTTATAAACCTATTTCAGATAATTGTTCAAAGATGCTTTTTTTTATTACTAAATTGGTGCTTTTTACACCATTGAGAGTAGTATATAAAGTATTCTTTGAGTTGAAAAAATCTTGATATTTTATTGGTAAAATTAAGATATAAAGCTTCGAAGATTGTTAGAAGTATTATTTTATTTAGAAGTTATATATTAGTTTCTTAAGATGCCTATGTGGTATTTTCATCTTTATACTTCCTCAACTCGACCTCGTTGATCCAGACTTAGTCATTCTGACCGACCTTTTAACCTCCATGCAACCATGAAACTATACTAAGTGTATATACCTTCAAAAAGTTAGCAAGCTTTAAGTAAACATTACAAGTGTGTTGTACACAAAAATCAGATTTTTTTTTTGATAAAGTATTTATACAAAAGATTTGTCTACGAATGTCCAAATTTAAAGAGTAAATCTGAGTGCGAGATGATTTTCATGTTAACAATATTTTTAGTTTTTGTATTTAACTTGCTTAACATCTAGAATCTTCTACATCAATATTAAAAAGTTTTTAGTAAAACTGTATCAGTTACTTTCTCTACCCTAACACTAACTGTAGTGAAATCAGAATTGTAGAATAAAATGAAAAGTTGAATTGAAATAAATCTAAGTTGCATTTTTTTTGTCTTCTAGAATGACTGCATGTTATAGTAAAGTAGTTAAATTAAGTTTTAACATGCACACTTTGACAAACCGATATCCAGAATGTTAAAGGATTACCTCACAATCAGTTGCTAGTAAAGCATTTTATAACAATTAAAACTATCATTTTCTCCTTCTGTCACAAAGAAGGCCTTATCACAAGGTCATGAAATAACCACTAGTTGGGTTGTACTTTCTCCCTGTGGTAACTCCATTTTTGCATTTCCCAAGCTTGAGACCTCTTGAATATCAGGACTGAGCTAAAGAGTTAATCCAATATCTACTACTACCAAGGCATTGTTTTTAACAGTTCAAACATCCACACACCTCGTGTATGTGTAAAAGATATAAGGTGATATTAGAGGTAAATGTTTGAGAAATTAGAATTAATTGTATTATGATGATGATATGCATCTTTTTCTACTTTCAAAACAAAAGTGTTATATTTTAAGCTGGTTTCTCTCATTAAAATTAGTTGATCGTTCATAACAATCTAAATCTTCATTATTATTATTTCCTTTATCATATACTATATAAAATTATATTTATTAAATTAAAAGTTCTTATGACAAATTGTTTTGCTTTTAAATAATGCAATTATTAAAGGAAGTAATGTACAGTTTCATGATTTATTCATCTCTCTTTTTCAAAATTCTCAACTGTGCAGCATATGAAAGCTCAAGGAAGTTCAGGTAAGAAAGTGAAATTTAAATAAAAATTTTATTTCATTTTTGTTTTTATTTTAAGTACCAATTAGAACAACCTAAACCTTACATTTTGCCACAGTTTGACTACCTTTTGAATTTATATAATTTTTCATTCATCCTTTTTTATATTCATTATGAAAAAACTAAATATAAAATTTTCTTAATAACACTGTGATCAATGATGTTTAAGTGATGTCAAGAACTTGGATTATGGTCTAATTTTTAAAAAATGCAACATATTTGAAGTGCACTGGAATGAAAATTTACTTCCAATATAATATGCTCCCCCCAAGTGGCACGGAGTTATGTCTGTGGACTTACACTGCTAGAAACTGGGTTTCGATACCCGTGGTGGGCAGAGAACAGATAACCCTTTGTGTAGCTTTGTGCTTAATAACAAACGACAACCAATATAATATTATTGCTTTAATCAGGAATATTTATGTAAGACTTTGTGCTAAAAGCTATAATATTTCAAGTTTCACTGCAGCACTGACATGTCAAACTTTTGTTTTATAAAGTATATATATAAGCTTTTAGAAATTAGTTCCAAATCATACCCAAGTATAGTTATTAAACCAGTGAGTGTTCTCTATAGGTTTGATGACTGAAATAATAAGTAGTGGTTATAAATTTCAATACTTGTCAAAACTTGTGGAATGTCACAATATATAATATTTTATTGTATTCTATAATAAACAGTGTGTTATTTGTAATTTTCATCAAGAATGTAATTATGGGATCACCCGTGTTAATTTTTTTTATTTTAATCACTACATTCAGACTGGTAATCTGAAGTCAATAATAATGAGCTGTGTGCTTAAAGTGGACATTTTATTGGAACTCCAAATGTCTTAAATTTCATTATTGCAAACAAGATATCCCAAGTTTACTATTCAGAAGTGCATCAAAGTTATTTAAGTGTAGGTTAAGTGTAAGGAAGTTATAAATGTAGTTTCTTGAGTGATTTTAAACTTCTGAATGAATGCCAATTTTTATTTCTATTTAAAAACGATTAATAGGATAAAAATTTATCTATCTATTATATTGTTAAGTTTCGAATGGTCCGAAGGATACGATAAAGGATGAAGATTTTGATTCCTGGCGAAATCAGCCTCAGCAGGTGAGATGTAATCACGTTTTATCTCTGTAGAAAATTTAGATAATTTTGAAATAGCTATAATATAATATTTTTAATCTAGAACAATCTTGGAGAATTTTTTTTGAAAGAAAAATTGCTCCCACTTGCTAATAAAAGGGTTTTTTACCTTTGTTATTTTATCATCATTAACTTTTCACTATTTTTATCATTTACAGTAATTGATAGAAACAACCCATCTTGTTTAAAAGGTTACTAATTTTGAGGATAAAAATTGTTTATCAACAAGTGAAGTATGAAAGTAAAAAAAAAATTTAGTTGTATTCATTATATCTCAAGACAAATATCTGATGACATTATCATAATTTTTTGCTTTTACCAATAACATGCTATGATAATGAAATCATAAAAAATTTTATTCTTCACTCTTACTTTGTAAATACATTTAAAGAAGCTTCGGTATGCTTTTAACTGAAATGTCTAATGATAGAAATATAAGATAATTTTATGTGTAAAGTATAGACAGCAGAACTTAATTTTTTTTTCTCATTTAATCATATAAATTACGCTGTCTGAAACAGTAGGTTATTTTGTAAACTATTTATCTGAAGGCTTATAAAAATTAACATTTGGGATGCATTTTTAATCCTGTCAGGAGTCTAAGGCATCTTTCAGGTGTCGAGTACACACTTTCATATTAAATTTCAGTTTATGTAAACATAGCATTTCTTACGCAATTTCAACAATTTTTAACAAAATATATTACAATTAATATTTTGTCATTTTGTACCATTTGTTTATAGTAATTAGGAAAAAAGAAAATTAAAGAATATTCATGCTTTTTATTTCTGCACAGTTGCAAGGAGAATGCTTGTAAATAGCACACTTATAATATATATTTTTTTTAATTCTACACATTTTAAAGCATAGGTTTGTATGTGCTAAGCAACTGTTAATTTTGACATGTTATATCTTTCTCTGAGATTGATGTGAAGAATTCTAATGAAGTATAGCTACAATCAAAATAGTGCCTTTGAGAGAGCAGATTATAAACTGTTTATACATCGGTGTAAATAAAACGGTGTGATAAATAATTGTTTCATGGGAAAATGACCAGACATTCTTGAGGATGAACAACAGCATCCACTAGAAAGCTTTCAAGATGAAGAGCTCAAAGATCTTGGAATATTTTATAGTTTTTTTTTTTTTTTTAGATTTTGTTCCTGGAACTGATTTGACAATAAATAGTATCTTTGTGAAATTTTATGTAAATCTTCTGTGGTAATGGCATCGGATAAACTTAGCAAGTACAATAGGTGAAGACAAAATATCCTGATGACTTAAATCTTTGTTTTTAAGATTATCATATTAAAAACAGTATGCTCAGTAGGTATGAATTGAGGTCATTGTGAAATGTTGGGTCATAGGTCAACAATATTTTTGTCAGTATTCTCTATAATTTTACAAATTATAGTCAGAAGTGGTGACTAATGCAGTTGGTGATATAAAGTATAAAAAAAAATGTAAATAAATATCAAGTAAGTTAACATTAAATGGTTATGTAAAGTTGATTATTTTTGATAATAAATAATGTGTGTGTGTAAATTGAAATTCTGTGGCAAAAACGTTTTTTTTTGTCTCACAGCAAAGTTTTTAAAATTTCACAATGTAAAAATTTATAGAGAAACGGAATCAAATTACATAAATACTTTATAAGCCAAAACTAGATATTTAGTGAGTTTGTGATTTTGTCAAGTATTTGAATGTCACACAATGCTATATGTTGTTACCTAGGGGGGCATCTTTACCCCTCCAACATACTTAATCTGAGAAAGTCTCCTTTGTAGTCTATGCTCCATTAACATTGTTTATTTGACACTTTTTCGGTGAAATAGAGACTTGGTTGAAGGTCTAATTTTTTTTAACTAATGAAAAATGAGCATAACATTTGAGATGGTTATAGTTTATAATGTTGCCTAATGAATAAATTTATAATGCTGTTGTTTAAAATCTTTCCCAGGTATGTTTCTTTTAGATAATTTTTTTTTTCTCATCCTTCAGGCATACAATGCACCAATGCCTTCGACTAGTATGGGTGATCCCTACATGCCTAGCTACTATCCATCTATGTCCTTTCCCTACCTTAATCAAGGTTTAGGTGATGGTGCATGGAGCAATGGGGGAGATCCAATGACCTTCCTTGGTGGATATGGTGGACAGATAGGAGGTGGTGATCAACACTCTCATTATATGGATGGTATGTTTGGTCAAAGTAGTTTCACTGGTTATAGTCAAGGTTTCAACTTCTTTCATGGTGGAAGTGGTGACTACTCAGCTTGGGGTAACTCGGGTATGGGAGGACGTAAACCAGGGCCTGCTGGACATGGCTATCATGATGACTACTATCGAGACACGTATGAGCAAGTTGTTGACCGTGGGGTTCTGAAACATGTTGAACAGGGGATGGGAGGACTATCCCTTAGTGACCATAAAACAGAAATGCAGTTCTCAAAAGATGGATATCATAAATCAGGAGTAGCCCCTGGACCAGGGCCTTTAATGACAGATCATCAATTAGCAAAAAAATTTATAGCATCCCCAGTGGAACATCTTTCTATGGTTGGCCCTGGACCAGGAGTTCCAGGACAACCAGTTGGTTCCAAGAAGATGACCTGGGCATCTATTGCTAGCCAACCTGCCAAACCTCAACAAAGGTGTAAACCTAAGTGTATTCCTCCAGCACCCATGTTGCAAGGAAAACATAATACATCCAGCATGGACATTGGTACATGGGAAAGTAAAAATGGCAATGGACCTATCATTGGGGAGAAAATGGGGCCACCACTTCCGCCTTCACAAACAAGATCAGCCCCATGGGGAAATCCCCGTGTGGGGCGAAATAATGGACCATCTGGACATGGGTATATGACTCCTCCACAACAAACTCAGCAAATTTTAGCTCAGAACCAACTGTCAGTTGGGGGAGATGGATTTCCTACTCATCCAGTCCTCGATAAACTCTGTATGGAAAACAGTTACAACCCTAAAGATTTTGATATGAATCCTAAAAATGCCAGGTTTTTCATAATAAAATCATATTCTGAAGATGATATACATCGGTCCATCAAGTACTCAATCTGGTGTTCGACAGAACATGGTAATAAACGTTTGGATGCTGCATTTCATGAGCGTGAAGGAAAGGGCCCAATCTTTTTGTTCTTCAGTGTGAATGGATCAGGACATTTCTGTGGAATGGCTCAGATGGTCTCACAGGTAGACTATGGTGCATCCTCAGGTGTCTGGGCTCAGGACAAATGGAAGGGTCAGTTTAAGGTCAAATGGATCTATGTCAAGGATGTGCCGAATTCACAACTCCGTCACATCAAACTGGAAAACAATGAAAACAAACCTGTAACAAACTCTCGTGACACTCAAGAAGTTCCCACTGAGAAGGGTAAACAAGTATTGAAGATTATGCATAACTTCAGACACTCCACATCAATCTTTGATGATTTTCTTCATTATGAAAAACGTCAAGAAGAAGATGAACAGCGTAGGACCCAGGTGAGTTATGTTTTTTATATTTTATTTATAATATTCAATTTGGACAAAAGAGCATGTTACCTCATTTGTTGGTCTGAGGTAAAGTTGCCTGAAATTTGTTACTTAAATGTTTTCAAAGCAATGCACACTGTGTAACTAGAAAACTTTGGACTAGTAAAATTATTTGTTTTTTGTACATAAAATATTATTGTGTGATTTAAATGGGAATAATTCCATTTAACATGAGATATGTTGTTGGTTTCCATTTTTAATGACAAATTCAATGAGAATGGAATCTGATAAAACTATAAGAAATAATGTTTTGTTTTGCATCTGTTTCATGAATGAGATGTAGATTTACTTTTCTGTAAGAAATAGTATTGAAATGACAGTTTATTTTTTCACAATAAAGATGTAATTTTTGTGCAACAGAGTTAAAACGAAGTATTGTTTCCTAGTTGAAGGAAAGTGAGGTCATGTTTTAGTAATTTGAGAATCTTTCAAGTCTGCTCTTCAGTTAACCTCAAGTGGAATGTAAATTTTTTGGGTCCATATAAATGGGGGTCATAGGGTTCAAAATACCCTAAGCTTGTTATAGTTTAGGAACTCTGTTTTTGAAATATTATTTCTGAGTATGTGTACCTTTGACCCAGATTGTGATACTTATCTAAAGTCTACTATTCTTCAGTAGTTCGTCTATGTAATAAACTTGCATTCTTCATGATACAGTTATAGAATTTAGGGAAAGCTAATTTAGATGTTAACTTTTCGTGTACCATACAGTGAAGTTAGAAAAATGATATTTGGGATATTCTCATTGTGAGACGTAGATCTACAGAAAGTTTTATCAGTGTTACACAAACATGTTTTTATCCAATTTTACTTGATTTCTTTACTGAGCAATTTAAACTGATTAAAAACTTTGAAGAAATCTTCTGTGGATACATAGTTCCCATTTTTATGTATAAGCTTCAAAATACTTATCCATTATATACAGTCTGCACGTGTTAAACTCTTACAAATTTTTGAGCTATCTTGTGTAGCAGACTCCCGTGTAGCTAAACATGTTTAACCTGCCTGTCATTTATCATTTGTTACAGTTCTCGGATATTTTTTCACCATTTTACATTTATTAACTTTTTTGAGAATTAGAACACAGTTTTTGTTTCTTCCTAAGTACTAGATTGGAGCCAATAATTAATATTCACCTCAGCAAGGGATGTTCTCATGCTTTGTAAGTTTCATGTTTCATAGCTACATCTTGGTTTGTGTTTAAAATTTATGAAATATGTTAATTTTAATAGTAACAAACCTGAAGTAATTATCCTGTAGTTTTTTTTTGTTTCTTTTATGATTAACAAGAAATGACTGTCTATAATTTTTAAATCTTGTAACAATGATAGCTCCGAAAATATTAAGTTTCAATTTCATCTAGGCTCAATATATGATAAAATGTAATGAAAATATGTCAATTAGGCTGTGTTTAACTATAAGTACATATATTTGTTAGGTAAAATAGCTTCTTTTTTCTTTCTTTTTTTTCTACAAGCTGGTAAAGTGATGAAATTTCTTAATTTATTAAATATCTTGGTAGAGTTTTTCATCTTTTATGAAATGGTACTAATTGTCAAGGAATTTTGTAATTTTCATATAACGGCTATTTGTTAAATATATTGTTTTACCTTAACTCATTTTTGTACAATGTGAAAATTAGATAGTGTTTGCTTACAATGCATGTGTGATTCAAAGAAAGTTTTCAGTTAGGTGGACTGGTTTTATAAACATATGGTAGCTTTATTGTTCTCGTAAGCTACACAATGCTAAGTAAAGTGGTTTCGGTAACTGTTTCTTTAAGTAAATACTGGTAGATAAGAAGTTATCTTTTTTCATTTTGTGAAAACATACCAGACAATGATAAATTGTAAACAGTATTGATAATCTGTGCCAGCCAAGTTCAATCTCACATATTAATAGTTGCATTTTTCTGAAATTCCTTATTTTTGTTGTATTTTCAATTAAAAAAATACCTAAACATCCTAAGCTTTTTGTAGATTTCACTTATTGTTTTAACATGTATTTATAGATAAATCAAAGTTAATGTCCAGTGGTTTCTTTTCATTGCAAACTACAGTGTTTTGTTTAGTTGTTGAGGATTACTGTTGTCAAACATTATTCTGGGTGATATGAAATACTAGTGCCATCTCTATGGTGTCTGGTATATAATACAGAATCTAAAATATAGTAAAGTTATAAATGCATGCATAACTCTGAATTATTCTATTTATTTGTTGTTCTGAAGCTGTTGTATATACCTGTCTTCAATTTCATGTGAACTGTCAAATGTGCATCTTTAAAATCAAATGTTACCTTCATGATTATAAAGTCATGAAGTCTGTGCTTGCATCCTTCAGCTAAGAAAATGCTAGTAGTTATAGATAAATAAGGTTCTCAGGACTAAAACAAGCAGATTTCTGTATGTTAGCCAGTGCTGCTGACATGTGCGTCAACTAAAACATTGAGACATGCATTTTCCTGGAGTAAGCATGTGTAAGAAGTCAGTTCTGCTGTGATGATACTTGCATGAGGGTCTCTTAGAAATTTTACTTTTTTGCAATTTCTTTTATTTTTTATATATTTTCTGGTTGGTTTTTATAGATAAAAATAGTGCTCCTCATGACTATAATTTACCCTTCTTCTACTTTCAAAACATACCCAAAAACCATGAAAAAATATAAAAACAAATAAATGTCTGTCATGTAGCACTCATGAAATAATTTTAGCAGCAGTGTTGATGATGCTTATATGCAACATAGCACAGATTTTAGATAAATAAACCTATATCTCCATAAATATTTTATTTGATATTATTTTGCAATATTAGAATGTTTTTAATAAAAATAAATAAAGCAATGGCATCTAGCGTGGATATCGATCTCTGAGTGAATGCGTTAAGCAACTGTTAATTCTTGTGAAATAGATAATTCCGTATTTATTAAACTTTTAAATTCATACAAAATTACTGTAATATTATGAAAGTAATGACTTGTTTTACCACAGAAACATCATTGATGGTATTAATGTTGAAAATATGCTTAAGTTAATACAAAATATAGTTTAGGTTGAGATTTGCTTTGATGATGCTTGGTAAGAGAATAAAATTTCGGGTTTCACCACATTCACAGCAATTCTTGTGTGAAAATAAAGGTAAGACAACAAAAAGAATTCCTGTGGAAATGTTGACAGAAAGAAGAGTAAGAATGGACTCTACTGTCAAAAGAAAATTTTGAAGGAAGAACTGTTTAACAGTAATAACTGTTGTATACTAGTTAATCTCTGTGAGAAATATTATGAGATCTCAAAAAGAAACTTAACTGCCAAACAAGGAAAGGACTTAGTTTTATAGACTGAAATGAATATGAAGTGGTAATTTTACTGTTTAAATGCAATCATTCAAAGATAATGAATTGACACGGTATTTGTTCAAGGAACAAGTTTTTAAGTATGTTTGTTTTAGAAGAGAAATGTTTTTTTTTTTAATTTAACTAACTACAATAAAATAATTAGGATGTACCTCAGCAATTGAAGGTTCTCCAGTTTCTTTCCTTCTGAAAGTAATATTTTGCAATTAGACATCAGTATATCTGATATACTTCTCTCTAGCAGTATTGGTTATTTATTATTTTGTTCTTGTGGACATTTTGCTACATGAAAATTGCCAAAGCTACCTAAACCAATTACATTTAAAATCTAATTTAAAACTTTGAATGCTCTTTTTTTGGCATTTCACCTGTATAGATATTTTTGTAAAATCAGTTAAACACATGGCACAGCAGAAGAATTATGGTATTTTACAGATTAAAGTCATTTATTCAAATGTATTCATCATTCCACAATGTAATAAAAAGAAATCAACTTGTAACATATTTTGGAATTTATATCTTTGTTGTTCTAATAACAACACACTCACAAGCTGACAAACTTTACCTTTTTTTTCTTCTCATCATCTTGTAACATATTTTGAAATTTATATCTTTGTTGTTCTAATAACAACACACTCTCAAGCTGACAAACTTTACCTTTTTTTTTCTCATGTTTATTAGAAAAAAAGATAAGTCCCAAAATGTTCTTGAAAATGTCAAATTCATGTATGAAAATTACTGTCAATGTTTTAGTGAGCAATTTTCTTTTACTGTATTACGTCACATGATTTTGTAACTGCTGATGTCTAGCTGTGTTTCTCAAAAAGAATTTTCTGTTCAACTGTTCAAACATGGGAAGTATAAATGACCGACTTAAAGCTGGTTTAGTGCCAGTTAAATTTATTGTTTCATGGTTGTTTTGTAAGCTTAATGAATGACAGCTGCTACAACGTGGGATTAGAACTTACTGTCTTGCATCTTTAACTCCTTTCTGTATGACTAGTATTTTCAGAATGAATTTTCTGTGTTTCTCATATGAATGCTGGAATGTTGCTATCAAACTAAGGAACACGATAATAAAAGATTATTAAAATTTTAGACATTGGGAAAGAGAAAGGAATAAAAGGTCTTTATTGTGCTTATTAAACATTGACAAATGTTATATTACAAGCTCCATTTTACTGCTAGAACTAGCAAATACAATCTTCAACATTTCTGAGTGCAAAAATATTTCTGAACCCTGGAATTTTGCACCCTTCCTTACTAAAAGATTAATGAATGAAACTTTTTTAAAAAGGGTTTTTGTCGTGTAATCTCATCGTTAGATGTTTGTATTGTACTAATGAGCCTTAACGTTTAGTAAATTACCAACTACTGTTTTCAGGCCTGCAAATGCACTTTTATCAATATAGGTAGTATTATTACTTGTTCTTTCAGTGAAAGAATGTAATTAAAATTCTCTGAAAAGATGAATAATTTACTCTTATTCTTGAATACGTGGTTATAAGTATAGTACTATTTGGGATTATGTTTTGCTGTGTATGCTACTACTAATGATACTGTAGTACCCTTCCACATATCTGGAACAAATTTCCAGGCATTTTTCATACCCAGTTTTTCTTTGTCACATGGCATTTCTGTAATTGTAATCTTTATCGCTATAATATCTGCTAAGTTTTAAATGTGTGTCACTTTTAAATGTATTTCATTGATATTGTTTACTTTATTGTTTTAGCATTTCATCATCACGTATATTAAGATAAGAGGAATTCATCTCTAAAACTACTCAAAACACATGCCAGCCATAAAGCAGTGTTTTCATTGGAACTATGATATATTGAATTAAAGTTATACAGATGAAAGACTGCTAAATCTTGTACTATGTTTTATAATAATATTTATTTTATGATATATTACATTGATTAAAATCCATATTCTGAAATGCATTCCTGCTTTTTAAGAGCAATAAAACCTACTTCTTTAAAATGATTGGAGTAAAACGTTCAAAATATTACGTAAACGGCACACATTTCTTTCTGTTTTGCAAGATTCATTTCGTGATTATCTATTTGAAGTTAGTTATACACATTAACTTTATTTTTAGCTATGATGCCACATAAAGCCAGTTGTTGATTGTCTGCTACATTGATGAATATTATTCATTATAATGATGTTCACGTATGCCAAGAAATTTTATACGAACCATGTATTTTATACAAGAGAGAACATATTATGACTCAAATATGTTTATACAGTGTTTTAGTGCATTTTATATGTAAATGTTTTAGTCGTTTATTAAGATATAAAACATAACAATGAAAATCTTAATTCTGAGATGTGAGTATGAAGCACATTTGTACACTTTTAACAAATTTAAATATCACCGTAAATTTGATAAAATATTCACAAATTTAAAGGAAATAACACCCGCTAGCATTGCTGCCAAGTTTCTTTATCTGAGATTGAAGTGCTGTACTGCATGGTTAAAGCAGGTCCTCTCAATCTTGAGCCAGGTCTTGTCATTACACTTTGGTCATAGGTAATCGTTCTAGTTGATGTCTTGAAAGTTCACGTTGAGTCCAGCAATGCAGCACTTAATAACAGTGTTGTATAGGTAATGACCCTCATGTGGCATTTTAAGACTTCCATGCTCTTATCCAGACCTATTGTCATATAATGTCTACAACCTTCCCATTATGAACCTGGACACATCATTATAAGCTTCCACTTGTTTCTGTATTTGTCCAGGTTCTATTATTTGCATAGTTCTGATACTCTGTACTTCCATCTGCTGAATTCTTCACCAGTTTCTATA